AGAGGGAAGGGGAAGGAACACTGAAGAAGAAAAAGAAAGCATTGACCCATGTCACTTTAAACAAACAAACGAAAAAAAAACTCACTGCCGTGGAGTTGAATCCAACTCATAGCAACCCCTCTGGGTTTCTGAGGCAGTATCACTACAGAAGTAGATTGTCCAATCTTCCTTCTGAGGAGTGGCTGGTGAGTTTGAACCGCCAACCTTCTGGTTAGCAGTCAAATGCCTTAGGCACTATGCCAACATTTCACTGTATATAAATTATATTTCAATAAAAATGTATTTAAAAAAAAAAAAAAGATTACAGCCTAGAAAATCTTATCGGACAGTTCTACTCTGTCACGGAGTTGCTGAGTCGGAATCAAATTGACAGCACCTGGCAACAAGATATGCCAGGCACTGGTCTAAGTAGTTTACATATATTACATATATTGACTGATTCGTTAACTTCCTTTTTTACACATGAGAAAACTGAAGCACAGAAAGGATGAGTAATTTGCTGCAGGTGACGTAGGTGATAAGCGGGAGAGCTGGGAGATTCAAACCCAAGTAGCCTGTCTCCCAAGCCCATGCTAGCCACTCTCATACTCTGTGGCATTACCAACATACATTACACTGGCACCTTAGAAGCTTGCTTCAAAGACTTTTTTTTTCCAAAAAATTAAATATTACTCAGGTTTTAATACAACAATAAATACAGTGATAACCAATTTTACCATGTATTTACTAGGTTCCAGGCTCTGTTCAAAGCACTTTAATTAGATTAATTCATTCACTCTTCATCACAGCCCCGTTTTACAGACATAGAAACTGAGACTCAGCAGTTAAGGAGCGTTCCTAAAGTTAGAGCATTGGTGGCAGATTCGGTTGGTTATCTCAGACTCCACAGCTTATGCTCTGAGTTAGCCACTCTGACTCCACATAAAATGCATAAAAACAGGACTGCTCTTTTATTTTGGGTGGCATGGGTGAGAGGGGGTGTTGGAGGTGCAATTTTGAAAACCACTGGTTGAATCAAATGGTCCTCCTGGCCTCCATTTCCTAGAGAGGGTAACTGTGGGCCAAGAAGTGGTGATATGGGCAAGTCACACAGTGGTGAGGGCTGGAACCGGAGCCAAAACCCCAACTGCGCTGACTCTCGGACTTCAGGGGAAGCTGACATTGACCTGAATCTAATAAGCAGGTGAAGTTTTCACATAAATAATCTCCTTTACACTTCACAACTACCTCATTAAGTAGATATTTGTACTCTCATTTTTACAGAGCAAGAAAATCAAGCTTAGAAATTCTAATTAAGTCATTTGCTGGAAGCCCTAAAACCAGTAAATGATGGTTAGGATTCAAACTCAGGTCCCTTGACATGCAAAACAAGTCAGTCGCCCTATCCCTTTCTCTAGTAGCATAAATTCCAGCCCTGCTGCTGCTGTCAACTCCTCCTTCCTGATATGTACAGAGATCAGCCCAGCATCGTCTTCCCTGACCTTGCCCTTCCAGAGACTTACTTCAGATCACCAGAGGCAAATCTGTATTCATAAGCCTTCTTTGCTCTGGGACCCCAAGTCCAAGTCTTCTGGTCTGGTCTTCCACATACAGAGGTGAGACATTTATTATTGAGACATTTATTGTCTCAAAACGGGCTGGCATGCTGGAGGCCTGTAACTAGTTGTTTTAGACCCTTGTTACTCAAATTGTGATCCTAACCAGCAGCAGTCCCTAGGAGCTTGTTAGAAATGCAGATACCCTAAAAGCTACTGAATTAGAATCTCTTCAAGAAGAGTCCCAGGTGATTCATTTGCACATTAAAGCTTGCAAAGCACTAAGTTAGGCCTGAATCCCAGGGAAGCAGGCTATGCCCACCCCTGTAACTGACCCTCTGTGGCTGTTGGCATGGTTGTTAGGGGCAGCTATGAGTTGGTTGATGATGCTTTTGTAAGGAAAAATTTGGATATTCAATTGCAACCAACGCCTGGGAAATTATTACAACAAAGAGAATCTAGCTGTTTTATTGCAACTGGCATCTGCAAGGTAAACTAAATGAAAGGCCCAACAGATGTCTTACAACAAGAATCTAGAAGTCTTATTGCCACCTCCAAATTGACTATAAGGATGAAATAAAGTAGAGAAATGGGTAGGAGTCTTGGTTTTAACTAAATCAAAACCCACTACTTTCTAGTCATATCTGACTTATGGGTGATCCCTCCTTGGGTTGCTGAGGCAGTATCACTACGGAAGTAGATTGCCCAACCTTCCTTCCGAGGAGTGGCTGGTAGGTCTGAACCACCAGACTTCTGGTTAGCAGTTACATGCCTTAGGCACTACGCTACCAGAGCTCTAAATCAAGTTGTGTTAAATTGGAAAATAGTTTAAAAACGTTTGCTGTAATGAAACTATGCATATTTACAATAGTAGCCTGGACACATAAAGGAAATGTGTTGTGACACTGGGACAAGTCATTGAAACATCTTTAAAGCCTTGTGACAAGATTCTGTCCTAACAACAATAACAACAAAGAAAAGCACTGGCCTGACAAAATCTGGCCAATTACACTGACTGCATTTCAAATTGGAATGCACTGCAGAGTAAACACTGACTGGAATCTAGTCCCTCTGTTGCAACAAGTTTGGATTTGCTATTGAAACAAATTGACAAGCCTGTGGCTGAAGGCCCTATGGCAGAGGGCGTGCATGGCTCCTTTATTGCAACAGGACCTTGCAGGGTGCCCTACTGTGCCAGCAGCCTAGAGAAGCTGTGGACCAGGCCAGAGGTACTTCTATCACAAGAGGGAATTACACTGACGGGCCACACTGTTATAAAGGCAAGACTTATGGAATGTTTTGCCACAGGCAGGACAGTCAACTGTCATGCATATCTGTAGGGAACAATTGCAGCTTCCAATAATGATAAGCAGCCACCGGTGCTTCGGCAACCCTCTGGCAGGGCAGCAATGTTCTCCTATTTTACATCTGAGGAAACTGAGGCTCTGGGAAGTTCAGGGGGTCTTCTAAATTCTCATGACTGGTGAAGAGCAGGGTGGAATGAAGACCTCAGTCTTTTGGCTACAGGCTGCATTTATTTATTTATGATGATCATTATTTGTTATTGTGATTTGGGTGAAAGTTTGTAGAGCAAATTCATTTTCCATACAGCAGTTCATACATTTTGTTCCCTGACATTGATTGTGATCTCCATAATGTAACAACTCTCTTCTCACTTCTCCCTGTGGTTACCTTTTCCCTGTGTCCTTATTTCCTATGCATTCCTGTCCTCTGAGCTATCTCCCTGTCAGACTGGAGTTTCTTACAGGGAGAGGGAGCTCTGGTGGCTTAGCATCTAAGGCCTTTGACTGCTAACTAGAAGGCTGGTGGTTCAAACCCACCAGGCCACTCCTTGGAAGGAATACTGGGCAAACTCAAAAGGAGTCACTATGAGTCTGAGTAGACTTGGAGGCAGTGAGTTTGGTTTGGTTTGGTTTTGAAATAAGATTAGGAAACTTGTGCAAAGAAAAACATGCATCATTTGCCTATTTAAACCTAGAATACTTTGTTGCAAAATTTTAAGGTTCTGGATATACTGTAAGGTTAAGATCTAAATATCTTCTTTAGGTGACTGGAATTTGGGCAAAGCCAAGACCAACACCAAACCAAAACCAAACTCACTGCCACTGAGTCGGATCTGACTCATAGCGATCCCTCCTTGAAACCCACGGCGGTATCACTACAGAAGTAGATTGCCCCATCTTCCTTCGGAGGAGTGGCTGGTCTGTTTGAACAGCCAGCCACAGTGGCAGCAAATTAAAGATGTAATTACAATAAAGTTTCACCTGGGCTAATGGGAAGAGACTTAAATTCCAGTTTGGGTTCTACCACTTCTTGGCATATAACCTAGGCTAAAATGTAGTTTCTCAAAGTTCGAAGCTCTGCCTTCGTGAAGCCTTCCCAGATTTCCCCACACTCCTACCCTTCTAAAGAGGTAGCGCCTGGCTCCTCCCAAATGAAAAATTTGGATTTATTAGCATTGTACTGTTTTTCCCCATTAGGAGAAAGTTTATCTTTAGGAGGCTTAGCTAGTCCTTGACGCCAGCTCTATGCCAGGCTGTGCATAGAGAACCAGGAGATAATCAATGCACATAGAATGTGGCTATTTGGTGGGCGCAACGCTTCAAACACCTTTGAGCACCCAACTTGAGCCTTCTTCCGCAACAAAGGCCGAGGCAGAACGCAGAGCCCGGACTTTTTCCAGCCACTCTACAGGCTGTAAACACGTCGATGCTTGGGACGGACGTCTGTGTGCGCTGCGGCGCGGTGCCCACCTCTCGCCCCGAGCGCCCAGCAAGCAGTCAAGCACCGCGGGTGCCCAGCCAATATTCGTGGACTAGGATGGAGAGAGGGCAAGGAGACACTCAAAGTAGATGCCGACACTTGACTGACTGACTGCGCTCGGGCAAGGGTAGTGAGCGCCCCGCGGGGCCGGGGGCGGGGCGAGGGCCGCTCTGTCCAGCCAGGCGCCAGCTCCTCCCGGGCGGGCGGTCACCCACCGACAGCGGGCACACAAAGCCTACTCGGCGAGCTCGGCTATCGGCTCCTCACGTCTGTTTCGCCGCGCGCCGCTAGGCGGCTCCAGGTTGGGCGGCCGGCAGTGGCAGGCACAGGGTGTCAAGAAGCTGCACGAATCAAACCGCCTCGGGAGGGAGCGCGAAGGCGGGGGACGGAGGAGGAGGAGGAGTGGGAAAGGGAGGAGGGAAAAGGAGAAGGAGTGGGGACCGGGTGGGGGGTGGAGGAAGAGGCCTCGCGCAGAGGAGGGAGCAATTGAATTTCAAACACAAACAACTGCACGAGCGCGCACCCACCAGGCCCGAGCGTTGCCCCCGATCCGCGCCCGCCCC